GCCAAAAAACGCCGAAGCAGACGGAAATAACTCCGCAGAAGGAAGATTCCCATATTGGGAAAGAGGATGAGGTTTCTGACGGCTCGAAGGGTGCTCCCCTCTGCTCCCGGCGGCAGGGGGCGAAGAGGAAGTTCTCCCAGTCCGACGGCACGTTGCTGGGCTCCGAGTCCGACGAAGATTCGGTGAGGACCTCCTCCAGCCAGCGGTCACACGAGCTGAAGGTATCTAGTACGGAAAAGGAGAGAGATGCCAGAAGAAGCTCGGCGTCCCTCAGAGGTGACGACCAGGGGAAGTCCTCCTCGCGCTCCAAGTCGGACAGGGATGAGAAGTACTCGAGCTATTCAAAATCGGAAAGAGATTCGCGCTATGGGTCCTCCCGCTCTCGATCCGACAGAGAGCGAAGGCGAAGCCGGTCTCACTCCCGTTCCCGATCGGATCGGAGCTCCCGAACCAGCTCTTCCTACTCGAGGTCGGAGCGCTCGCATTACTACGAATCCGACCGCCGCTACCATCGGAGCTCCCCGTACAGGGAAAGGTCGAGATATTCCCGCTCGTACGCGGACAGCAGGGCCCGAGACAGCTCGGACTCGGAGGACGAGTACAGGAGGACACATTCCAGGTCGAGCGACTCGCGGCGCACGTCGTCCCACTCCTCCTCCTCCTACAGAGACTCGAGGAGTTCTTACTCCAAGTCAGACAGGGACAGCAAAGTAGAGTCGTCTCACGCTGACGCGGAGAGGAGAGGAAGGTCTTCTTCGAAGGCAGATAGAGATTCAAAAAGGACTTCAGAAAGTGAAGTAACCAAAAGGTGCTCTCCCCTTGACGAGCTAGGCTATCGAAAGGGGACATCCCATTCTAAGCCTGACAGTAATGTGAATTCCTCCCGGTATAAGTCCACCCCTTCAAAGACCCCCGCACCAAAGCCTGATAAATTTAAGAGTTCTTTCTGTTGTACAGAATCGATCGAAGAAATAAAACAGCAGTCTAATTCTCTAGATTTAGAGACCTCTTGTCTAAAAAGCAATGAGATCAGGGTGTCCATTGCGAAAAAGTTTGAAAGGGAAAAGGCACTTTCTCCGTTACATCAGTTAAACGATTCGCCCGCTTTTAACAAGGCAGACGAATCCAAAGCGGGTTTTGCTAACCCGACGCCCGAGGAGCTTGCAGGAAATGAATGCCACGACAGTGTTAAGGAACAAGAAACTTTATTAAAGATACAGCACGATCAGTTAAGAACGTGTTTCCCCACGGAGCTGAGTGTAAACGGGTCCATGGAGGGCAGGGCTGATTTGGCAGCTTCCAGTGCCTCCAAAACAGAGGACGTCGCCGCGTCTTCTGACCGTAGCCTCTGTCGGTCAGAAGCGTCGCCCGTCGTGAAGATGAGTCCGTCGTATCCGTTGCCATCTAATGGGTCTGAGAGCGAGTATGCGTCTCAAGAGCGAGAGCCAGACGATGCTCGGGTCCAGTCCAGCGAGTGCAGCAGTCTGTTCGGGGAAGCGGAGGCTCCGGTGCCGCAGCGGGAAGGGGAAGCCGTCCCTTTGCCCGTCGTGGATGTAGATCAGACTAAAACCGTGCTGGATGATCAGGTGACTCCGTGCGACAAAACCAAAGAACCAGTTTTTTGCTACATTTCGGACGATGCCGCCCCTGCTTTGTATCATTCAGAAGTCGAAATCGAAGCGGAACCAGCAGATTTGAAAGTTACATCGGAGACTTTCCTGGACATGCAGGTAGAGCTGCAGACCGTGACGTGCGATTACGAGAGCACGGAGGATCACCACGCCAAGTCTGCCTGCGACGAGGAGCACGGTCACCCTGCCCAGAAAATGAGCCTGGCGGTGGAGAGCTCGAGCGGGGATCCCTCCCAGGATGGCTCTTCCCCAAGGCTCGGGTTGGAGCGTCCCGTGCCGGAGGAAAGCGTCTCTTCCAAATGGGACGTGCCACCGCCGGATGGACGCCAGGAGCTGCTGCAGCATTCGGAAGCCGAAGAGATGCCGGAGTCGGATGCTCAGCACGTTGGTTTTGGTTCGGCGAAAGGCAAGCCGTCGTTCCGAGATGAACATTCGTACTATTCCGAAGTGCCGCTGGAGCACCGCGGCAGGGAGGTCGTGGAGGAAAGCGCTGTGTCCACCGAGACAGTTGGGCCGGATGATTCGAGTGTTCGGTGTCCCGACGTGTTGGCCGAGAAGGACGAGGGAAACGAGCCCTTGGTGGCTTCGGCTTTTCCAGACGCATTCTTTCCCTCTTGCGATGTCGTCGTTACCGCGGAAGAAGAAACGGAGACGATAACTCAAGCCCCGACGTGTGACAGCAGCGGCAACGCTGCTGAATTTGTTCCTCCTGGCCATGACGATTACTCCGACACAGGGGAGAGCGACAGCGAGGGGGGCAGCGAAGACAGCGAAGACACCGAGGACTCGGATTCCGATGACGGCACGCCACGGAAACGGCTCCAGTCTGTTGTGGTGGTTCCAAAGAACTCGACCATCGCTATGGAGGAGAGCAGCCCCGGCTCCTCACGTAGCAGCCAGGGCAATAGACGCTTCTCCGACCACTGGGACGAGGAGCGACCCGAGCCCAGCAGACCCTACTATGAAGAGCGATCGGAGAATGTGGCGAGTAAAGGCGGGCCGCAAGTAGAAAGGAGATGTTTACCTCG